CTCAGGTCTTACTTTTGGAATCACACAGTCATAGCATTTAAATTTGCCACAAGAATAACTGATGAACCTGTATCTTAAAACAGCCCGTATCTTCACCAGATCCCGTACAGACAAAGACAAATGTCCTTCAAGAATCTTAAGATATCCTTTGTAGCAGAACTTGTTTTTGCCAGAAGGGAGTTAGGAAGTTTTCAGTACAACTTTTGGCAGTGGTGATAAGAGGTAGAGAAATGTAATTGAATTTTACAGTGGGCAACTCAGCTGCAATGATCTACTCAGTGAGAAAGATCAAAATTATGCCATTGTCAACACCATCTTTCATCTATAAAACTATAGGAAATACATGAACATGATAAAAATCCTTTAATCAAAAGGATTTTCTATTTATGACAGTGCTTTGAAAGCAAACACAATATTTTTCAAGAGATCTCTATTTTGCAGAGGAGTCATAGCACCAGGGATTTGTGGTAAGCTGGAAGAAAATACAGACTATATATTTGATGATAAGTAAAAGATCTTAGTGTTCCAAATATAAGTGGTCACCAGATTTTTCTAGGTGGGTATCCCATAGTCAAATTATACTGATGGGTGAAAAACAGAATGCAAATTGAGACTGTCTGCATAGCCTTTTGAGAGCTATAGGAGGTGTAGAGTATTATGATAGTATCAAGCCTTAAAGTACTCCAGCTGTTTGAACTTCTAGACATCTTTAGGATGAATATTTGAATTCTAAATCAATTTTACCAACATCGCCATGGCAGATTTTGTTTTTCAAAGGTGGATGGAACAGTGTCTCTCGCCTCACATGCTCTTCTACAGTGTGACTTTGCCACTTCCCCATCAGGAGGTGGAGCCTATTTCCTTTCCTTCTGGCTCCTCTCCTCTTGTGACTGCTTTGACAAATAGAAGTATGCTGGAATTATTACTGTGTGGCTTCTTAGATGGATCATAAATGATAATGCATCTTCCCCCTTATTTATTAGAATACTTGCCCTAGGCCTTGAGCTACCAAGTAACAAGTCTGATTGCCTTGAGGCCACCATACTGTAAGGAAGCTAAGACAGGAGGAGAGGCCACCTGTAGGTGCTCTATTTAGTAGGCCCAGTCTTTGAGTTTTATCAGCCCAGGAAACAGAGATGATTTAGTGAGAAGGATTGCCAAATAATTCCAACTCAGCCATAAGTCACCCTTCAGTTCTTACCTGCTGAAGTCTCAGATCTTAGAATGAAAAGAACACATCTCCTCTGTGCTCTGTCCAATTTCATGAACCACTGTGTCTGTGAGCATAATATCATTGTTACTAAATTTTGGGATAGTTTATTTCACAGCATAGTTAGCTGGAAAAATTATTGATAAGGTAAACTTGACATTATAGTGACAGAGCATTATTGTCAGCTGCAAAGGCCTGAACAAAGCCTTTTCTGTAGAAGCAGTATTTACTGAAAAATTTAGAGAATATATTTGCACACTTAGAGTAGACATCATTATAGCAACTACCATTTTGAAGCACCAGATGTCTCTCTCTCTCTCTCCCTATCTATCTATCTATCTATCTATATATATATATATAATGTATAATATTTATTTTGCTGTTACTCATTGGTGTCTGTTTCCCCTTTTGTAGTAAAGGCTTCCTGGAATATATTCAGATTTTTAGCTGGAAGAAACACAAACCTTGGCTGATTAGCCTGGAAGACATTTTATTAGATAAATAAATTCTGTAGCTCACAAAGTTGTGGGGGGCAGGGTTGGAATTGAAACATATAGGAACAGTTGGGTGTTAACTTATAGGAACAATCCTGGAACCGTGCATTAGAATTGTCTCGTGAGGAAAACTGCAACCTGTGCCGTTGCCTGATGAGCATAGAGGACGTCCCTGTGCTGTCCGTCCCTGATTGTTGGATGCCTCTGCTGCCATCAAGTCCAGCAAAATACTTAGGACTCCCCATAAAGCTTGTCTTCTTAGATTGTTTGCTTCCAAATCAAAGATTCAGGAGCACATGACTAACTGGCAGAGGCTAGTGCAAGTGTATCCTAGCTGGAAGGGAGTCTGGGAACTTGAGTTTTCTAGATTCCGCTCTTAGGAAGCCAACTCAAGAAGGCTGCAGATTTCCCAAATGTAGCAAGAGTGTTTAAAAAGTTCTGGGTACCTTGAAAACATGACAGTTATGTATGAGCTGGGATATATTAAAAGAAGACAAACAGGAGTCTGGCTGGCCACAACAATGAAGATGGTGCCAAAAAGCAAAACTAGTGTCAGCTGATAGAGTACTAGGTCTGCCTTCAGGCTAAGAGATTAAATTCTGTACCAATTTATATATGCCAAGAAAAACTGCTTGCCCCAGCACAACCTTAGTCAATCTTATTTTAGTTTCAAGTCTCTCAAAAAATCCCTACCTGGCATAATACGGAGATAGGGGAAAATGTTATCAGAAGAGATGAAATAAATAGCTTAACTCTGCAGTCTTTACCCTTTAGGCCGAGGGTGGAGTAGGCATCCCCTGCCCATCAGTCTCTTGGCCTAGTATGACCTTGAAATGATAATGATGAAGTCAAAGGTGATGCTGATACCAACATTTATTGAGTTTTTATTATATGCCAGGTATTTTTTTAAGCACTGTATGGATATTGTTTTATAATCTTAGACATCCCTGTAAGGTAGGTCATATAATCCTGTTTTACAGATGAGGAAACTGAGTCACATGCTGGCCATAAAAACTAATTAGTTGAAGTACTGAAATTTGGATCCAGGTAGTCTGACTCTAGATCTTTCTTATGCACCGATAGAGATTTTATTGGGTTTCTTGGTGTTTGTGTTGTCCTCCTATGTCTGAGTGAATGCTAGTAATATATAACTAGGAGAAAAAGTTTTTGAGACGGAGTTTCACTCATGTTACCCAGGCTGGAGTGCAATGGCGCGATCTCGGCTCACCGCAACCTCCGCCTCCTGGGTTCAGGCAATTCTCCTGCCTCAGCCTCCTGAGTAGCTGGGATTACAGGCACGCGCCACCATGCCCAGCTAATTCTTTGTACTTTTAGTATAGACGGGGTTTCAACATGTTGACCAGGATGGTCTCGATCTCTTGACCTCGTGATCCACCCGCCTCGGCCTCCCAAAGTACTGGGATTACAGGCTTGAGCCACCGCGCCCGGCCGAGAAAAAGTTTTTTATAAAACAATTATCACATATTTTCATCAGGTGATTCTCTTTGAAAAAGGAGAAATGGGCAAGAAAATTGCAACATTGCCTAATCCTTCAACAGTCTGCACTCCATACCCTAATGCCTAAGCAAAAGGCCGCAAGACCCCTCTTCCCAACCTACAATTCCAATAGCAGGTTTCCAACCTTTAACCTTGTTTAATCCTCACATCAGTGCTGAGAGATTCATTATTAACACTTTCATTTACTCAGGAAAAAAATGAGTCTCAGAAGGGTTATATTACTATGGTCAAGGTCACACAGGCTATAAATGGTAAAAATTAGGCTTTGAATGCAAATCCCACATTGTCAACTACTGTGAGAACTGTAATGTTAAAGTTTCCAGTGCAATGCAATAGTTCAGCACAGTGAGACAAGGCCGTAAAGCAACGGGCAGGGAGACCAAATTGGCATGTAGCCTTTGAAATGGAGTGGCCTTTTATGAACTAGTAACATACAAAGGCCATGACTGTAAATCCTAGCATTGAGGAACAGTTTACATCCTGTTCCTGTCTTTTTAGTCTGATAGCATCTGTTACCAGTAATCCTGTCAGAAGCATGAACCCAGTCTCTGTCTCCTTTCCATCTTCACGTCCATGCTCAAATTTGGCGAAATAGTCTCTGTAGTTAGTAGGTGCATTCAGAATTAATAGAAATAACACTTCAAAACTAGAACTAAAGAATACAACTGACTTCTGTCTAACAGTTTAAACTTTTATACTATATCAGACTATACTGATATTCTCTGCCTTTGCACTAAGGGATGTTCTGTGGAGAAACAGCATTGCCCTCTAAGAGATTACATTTAAAAAATGGGGAGTTTGTTCACATGTGACATTGCCAAACGTTTCTTAAATGTATTCTTTTCTACACTGATTCACACCTTGAGAACAAGTTAAATTCACAAATTTGCACTCTGCTTAGTAATAACTTTATCATTTTTCTCTTAAAAATGCCTCCCTTCAGCTGTACCCATAGACCTGGAATTTGGCAAGTATATGCATATTTGCACTAACTGTCTCATGGTGTGTTTATTTCAGCCATATGCTTATCAGATTCCATCTCCAGCTGTAGAGTCTGCTGATCACTTTAAAGCAATGGTTCTCAAACCAGATCATTTTGCCACCCAGAGGACATTTGACTATGTCTGGAGATATTTTTGGTTGTCACAATGGGGAAGGTGTTGCTGGCATCTAATGGGTAGAGGTCAGGGATGATGCTGAATGTTCTGCAGCATAACAGACAGCCCCCAACAACCAAGAATTATCTGGCCCATGATGTCAGAGCATGGAGGTTGAGAACTCTGCCTTTAGATGTGTCTGTCTGCATCCTGTCTTACTCTTGTGTGTCGTCATCAGCCACAGTGAGAGAACTAGGATTTGGTGCTAAGGGAAAATTACACCTTGTGTTTTTCCAAATGCTGCCTGGTGATACTGGGAAGTTTTTATCTTGTATCTTTACAAGGTACCTGAGCTTACGTGTCTTCATCACTGCCCCAAATTGTTGCTAATGGCACAAGATCCATCATCCTATATGGCGCTTTTGTATTTTAATCATTGGTTTGTACTTGCCTTCAATGACACATACCTGTCACTTTTCATTTCACTCAACTCTTTGTCGTTTCTTTGCCATTTATGCTTATCAACTTGACACTTTCTTACCCACAGTCTGGAATACTTTATGGCTTCCTCCACCAGATTATTTAAAGGCTAAAAATGTTAATTAAGGTCAGCTGCAACAGATCTTGTTAACTCCTTTTCATTTGGAAGAATTATATGTATATCTTTTGATTCTTGTTTATAGTTTTGAACCGGCTTTCTTCCCTTGACAAAACATTTCCTTAATCACCATGCAATTCACTCGGAGAGGTATGTCACAAGTTTCTCTTGGCCATAAACTGATTTCAGCCTCTTGAAGAATTCTAGTAGATCAGTGAAGCAGTATTTCCCCAAACAGAAGCCACAGTTGTCTTTTTACCCAGAAGTGGTGCTTGCTTATGTGGTCAGGGGTTGATTCAATTCAAGAAATATTAAGTACCTATTGAGTGCAGGTCAGTATGCCAAACAACCGGGGAATACAAGATGAATAGAAATAGCCCTTACTAAACAGCTTAAAATCTAGTTAGGAGTGATAAGACATGTACATACATAACTGCAATCCACTGTAGAAAGATGTATGAGAGATGCAGAGTTTCTACGGTGTGTCTAGAGCACCATACTTGTACAGCCTACTTGCCGGCCACGCATGAAAGTCAAGGTTACTGATCTAGACCTCTGCAGTCCTTATTCTGTATTAGAATCATTCTAAACATCTTCTAGACTCCTTGCAAAAGATTACTTTGTAAATGACGTGTTGTACATTTTGGCCTCATGTTTTGCTGTTTTTATCCTAAAGTTCCTTGAGACTCTGAAGTGTATTCCAGCCACTCCTGGCAATTTTACATCCAGTATGTCAGTGAGACCCAGAACATCATGGATTCTTCACACTAATTTGCCGTGTCTGCTTTTTTTAGCCTTCAGAATAACTGCCACAGTAAGGATTCAGGTACAAATTTTAATCTTTGTGTTCTTTAGTTTTACCATTTTGAGGGGCAGATGACTGCCTTCTCTTCCCTCTATGCCAACTATATTTTGTAGATCTTTCTATTCTTGGGATGGCATGGTAGAAAAATTAAAGGCTTTGGAGTAAAAAAATCTCTGGATCTGAATCCCTGCTATCATTTTGTGTCTTTGTGGGTAACATTCCTAAGTTTGTGCAACTACAATTTCCTCATCTGCCCAGACAGGATAATAACATCTACATTTTGTAGGTTTGAGAGGATTTGTTGAGATGATACATAAAATGCCTGCCAAAAGATGTCTCAGTGAGTCTTCCCCTACCTGTTTGTATTCCTTACTTAGACAATATTTCTAAGGGGACTGTCTCTCTTCTCCTCTATCTCAGTGGTGGCTTCTCTTGCATCATTGTTTGCCAGTACAGATTTTCCCTGTCACTTTCTGGTTTATCTGGTCAACAGCATACATTTCCACCTTGGTCTTCTGATAAGGTATGTTTAATATAAAATTGTAACTAACAGTTCTGCATTTTGCCAGTTTCTTTTGCTTAAATCTGAGTGAACCACATACTGAATTTTTAAGCAGCTTTCCTTCTATAGCCCATAGTGAGATTAAGTATGTGATACCTATTGTTATTCCATCTTTTATCAATTGTTACTTCCCAATTGTGGTTCCTATATTTATATCAGAATAAAATATTTTTCCCTTCATATGGAATAGACAATGCAGTGTTGTTTAATACCAGACAAGTACTTTTCTGCATGTCTTTCTATGGAAGATTTTTGTTTCCTGCTCAACAATCTGTATTTGGTTTCAAGGACATTCATTGAGTACCTGTTGTATATGACTCACTCATAATCCTACAGAAAGTTGTGAAGTATCTTTCTCAGGAATAAAGTTTTTGAAGCAACATGTGGTTCTCTGGTGCATTTATTTTTAATTAAAAGCACCTAAGAAAAATGGGTATTTTTTAAATGCCATTTTCCAAACAGATAACATTATCAATCACAATTATTTTCAAAGAATGGGATTTAATAATTGTGTTTTTATTATCTATAAGATGTTGAAAAGATAATTATAACACATGTAAGCTATAAAGAATAAAATAGCACTGTGTCCCCCCAAACCAGTTAAGAAATGAACATAACAAGTATATTTGAAATTTCTTGTAGGACCCTTGCCTACACTTTGCCTGTCCTAACCTTACCCAGTGACAACCCTTAGATGCTTAAATTATAGATTTTTAAATTTAAATTAGCATCACTGTTTTCATTTTAAAGTTTCACACTTTTCTGGTATTAAGTCATTTCAGTCAAGAGTCACCAGTTACTGTTCGGGAACATCAAATTTTGGTCATAGGCTTTTAATATGAGGCTGGGTGCTGTGGCTCACACCTGTAATCCCAGCACCTTGGGAGGCTGAGGTGGGTGAATCAGGAGGTCAAGAGATCTAGACCATCCTGGCCAACATGGTGAAACCCCGTTTCCACTAAAAATACAAAAATTAGCTGGCTGTGGTGGTATGCTCCTGTAATCCCAGCTGCTCGGGCAGGAGAATTGCTTGAACCTGGGAGGCGGAGGTTGTAGGGAGCCAAGATCATGCCACTGCACTCCAGCCTGGGTGACACAGTGAGACTGTCTCAATAAAAAAAATAAAATACACAATATGAAATAACTGCCCTATTACTTTTGAAAAATTGACGGATTAAATTGTGTATGCTTACTGTGTATGACATGATATTTTGAAGTGTATATACATTGTGGGATGACTAAATCTAGCTAATTAACGTATGCGTTACATCACATCATTATTGTTTTTGTGGTGAGAACATTTTACATCTACTCTTACTCATTTTTCAAGATTACAGTATATATATATTTTTAAATTTTTGTGGCTACATAGTAGAGGGGTGTGTGTGTGTGTGTGTGTGTGTGTGTATTTGAGTACATGAGATGTTTTGATACAGACATGCAGTGTGAAATAAGCACATCATGGAGAATGGGTATCCATTCTTTCAAGCATTTATCCTTTGAGTTACAAACAACACAATCATACTCTTAGTTACTTGAAAATGTTCATTAAGCTTATTATTGACTATAGTCACCCTTTTGGGCTATCAAATAGTAGGTCTTATTTATTCCATCTGACTCTAAGAGTAGAATATATTATTAACCATAGCCACCATGCTGTACAGTTGACCTGACAATTGACCCTGTCACCCAAGCTGGAGTGCAGTGGTGCAATCATAGCTCACTGTAGTCTTGAACTCTTGGGCTCAAGTGATTTTCTTGCTTTAGCCTTCTGAGTGAGTGGGACTATCGGCATTGGCCACTACGCTTGGCTAATTTTTTATTTTTATTTTTTAAAGTTAGGGTGTCACTATGCCATCCAGACTGGTCGTGAACACCTGGCCTCCAGCAATTCTCCCTTCCTGGCCTCTCAAAGTGCTGGGATTATAGGCATGAGCCGCTGTACCCAGTCTGTGCTTAAAAAATAAATCATTTAGGAGTAGGTCTTTCTCTAATTTGTCATAGGCTTTCTTCATGTGGTGATAGGTTGTTTAATCTGTGTTTTCTGGGCAAAGTGTTGGCACAAAAGCCATCAAACTGGGGACATCAATAAAAGTCATAGCCCTGGGTTGGGGGATCCAGAAAGACCAGGAAAAGTAAGGCTTTTGTTCTTTTTCCTCTTCTTGCTCTACACCGACCCCTGGGTGAAAGTTATGAAGTTAATCTTAATTTTCTTCTGTAGGTTAACTGAAAGAAATGGAAGTTGCATATAGAGGGAGAAAATTAAATTTAGGAAAAGGAGAAAAGTGAGTTTGGAAAATAGGCGGAAATAGGAAAATTGGGGAAGAAAGATGATAATCTAAAGATATAGGAAGAAAAGCAAACAGATTTGTGTAGTGTTTTGCTTTAAAACTTGCAGTTTTAGGGGAAAACGATTATTTCACTCTGAAGATTTATAGGAAGATAGAGATAGAAAAGAGGGGGGTAGATAATGAGAGAATGTGGTGGATAAATGGGTGGGTGGGTGGATGGATGGATGGAGTAATGAACAGAATGTGTTGTTGACCTTTTAAAACAGTACATGTCAAAATTCTGGAGGTCCCTTTGTAGCTAGAAAAGAACATATTTCTATCAATGCAAAAAAAAAAAAAAAAAAAAACTGCAGCAAAGACCTGCTGCTCTATTTAGGTAGCTCATCTTACTGTCTTCCTACTCTTAAGGTATTTTCCTCTTTGTCTAAAGGAAAAAGTTAAAATCTTGAGAAAAAGTTAAGATTCTGTGATTAGGAACTGTTCTTTTTTTACATCAGAAATTTCATCACAGTAAATCTTGATTTAGTCCAGAGACACAGATACTTAAGAATGTGCATCCAACTCTATTTCTGCTAGCAAAAATAAAGGTAGAATCAACATGAACCTTTTCATATTGGATTTCAGAGCAATAATCTTCTTGCTATGCTTCTTGAGCTAAAATACTGAAAGTCAGATTTTCAACTTGCTGCTGGGCTTTCATCTTATAGTTCCCTAATCCAGATGTTTAATTATTCTCTTACTCATTTAACACAGCAGATCATTACTTCTAATTTGAAAATTAACTATAGGTCTGGGACATACACAAACAATGCTGCTTTTTGGTCACTGACTTTTTAAGGGAAAATTTAAAATGTTGTAGTTCAAATTGCATCCCAACACATTTCATTAGAAGAGAGATTTCTATAGCACTAAGGTGTTAACAGTTCCAGCCAGTGGACTATGTATTTCAAGAAATACGCCAGAGATAAATGATTTGAACTACAGAATCCTTTGAAGCAGCAATAAATTTCTGGATTTGATTTGCAGAGTAACAGGGAGCTTGATAATTGTCAGTACTTTCTAAAATGCTATAAACCGGTTTCATTTTTTATGGTTTAGAGACAGGGTCTCTTTCTGTCACCTAGGTTGGAGTACAGTGGTGTGATCATAGCTTACTGTAACTTTGAACTCCTAGGCTCAAGTGATCCTTCTACCTCAGCCTCCCAAATGGCTGGGACCACAGACCCACACGACCATACCCAGCTGATTTTTCTCACTGTGTTGCCCAGCTGGTCTTGAACTTCTAGGCTCAAGCTGTCCTCCTCAGCCTCTTGATGTGTTGGGATTAAAGGTGTGAGCCACCACACCCAGCCCTGAACAGATCTTTAAAAATTATTTAACATGGTCAGATCTTAATGACTGATGTTTGTAGACTAGTGTAGAGCTCAATTCAAGAACATTTATGGAGTGCCAAGTTGATAAGCAAAAAGATTTATAAAATATCTCTGATATTTGGAGTTTACAGACTGTTTGGATGGATGGGACATGTGCTCGAAAGTCATAATATAGTGTAGATAGAAGACATGAAGAGTATTCCAAAGAAGGAAAAGAGAAAAAAAATTGAAAGTCATTACTTTTGGCAGAGGTGGAAGAGAAACCGTGAGATCAGCTCGGTATCCATGCATGTGAAGTGCTTAGAGGGCTCCTGGTTGAAGATAATCTGTCCATGGTGGAGATGGTTCAGGCGATTAAGCAAGATCTTGCCAAGTGTTGGAGAGGGAAGGGCATGCCAATGGAAAGTAGTCTCTTCTCTGCTCAAAGCCTTCTAGTGGTGGCACAGCTCCCTCAAAATAAAATTCAGAGGACTTACCCTGGCTTACTGTGCACCTCAGTACAATTCAGTGTGGTCCGTGGATCTCTGCTGATTTGAGAACTGCTATGGGTCTGTGAGGAGACAGGTTCAGAAGCCTTCTGTAGCAGTAGTTATTACCCTGACATTTTAATTGCATTTTATAAAATTATCCATCTGCAGTGGATCCTGAAAAGCAGCCAGTTCTTTAACATAGAGCATTTGAGGAGCACAGCCCTGTATGATATTCCCACTGTGTCTTCTGCTCTCCTTTCCAGTCATTTTTACTCTTATTCTCAGTGGTGCACCACCAGGCCTCTTAGTTATTTCTTGAACACTCCAAGCATATACTTCTCAGAACATTTGCACTGACTTTTCCTTGTGCTGCTCTGCTAGGAATGCACTTCCTCCATGTAACTACACCTTTCTCTCCCTCCCTTCCTCCAGGTCTCTGTTCAAATGTCATCTTATCAGAAATACTTTCCTTGTTGACTACTAAACACACTTACCTCACCATGCTCCTTACCTTGTTTTATCTTTCTTACAAGTTACTAAGTACTAATATAGTTATAGATTGATTTATTCATTGCCTGTCTTACTCTATTGGAAATCAACTCCAAAAGAACAGGAACTTATATTCGTTGTTGCCATATTCTTAGCACCTACAACAGTGTGTGACACATAGTTGGCCTTAATAGGTATTTTCTCTATGCGTGCATGCCTGCATGAATGAATAAATGGCAGAACAATTAATTGCGATGGGGCTTAAAAATGTAGGTACACTTTAGGGACTCATAAGTAATTTGGCTTAGAAAAAGAGATAAGGAGTTTCAGTTAGCTTTAG